TGAAAATGATTCACTTATGTAAAAGTACATATGAGGTTTTGTGGAAAATCTGTATGATGGAGAAAAATGGATATCATTTTCGGATTCGGTGTACAGAAATTACTGTAGAACATGTACAAATTTCAAGACAATAAAACCATCGCAGGCCTGTGTAATCTATTGCTTAACAACAAACAATCACATAATTTTGAAAACTGAACTAATAAGCATCTTAATACTAGAAATAAACACCCTTATAACACCAAAATGTTATTTTATTTAATTAGACACTCAACGTTTCGCTTTACACTAAAACACAAACCGAAACTGACAGAACAAACATTTTGGTGTTATGAGGTCGTTTATTTCCTGTATTAATATATCTTCTATACACCAAGATGTACTACAGAAATTATATAATAAGTGTCTTGTTGAATGATATAATCTATGCAGCCTAGAAATGATTATAAATATATTAAAAAAGTTGCCTTGAGCCCATTAAAAACAGCCATTTTGAGAACTTTCAAGGATGATGAACATTGATCGATAAAGAAAAAATAAAATTAAAATAGATAATTTTTTTGCATCAGAAACGAACAATTATCAGTGAGTACGGATATTTTAATATTCAAAGTTTCATTTATACATATTCGTCAGAGCAGTGCTGAATCTCTGAGTTGACAATAACAAAGGAATTTTGAATATTAAAATATACTCACAAATATTTTTGTCGTTTTTAATATATATATATATGATTTTGATACTCCAGCGTGTACTATCCAATCCTTATTCCAAATCAATCATTTGGTTGCATAAGGTTGCTAACACGAAAGGCAGCTGGTCACTGGACTACAATAGGTGATTTGCAGCTTTTCTTAATTTCAGATACGTGACTGATTATGGCGCTGTCAAAGCATGAGAAGGTCGAGTTAATCCTAATGTTAATCAAAACTTGTCTCGAATTACAAGGACAGTATGTGGAATACATTCTGAAACATTCGTTGAAGTGCCTATGGTTCCAGACTTTTCGAACACAACTAAAGGCTGGCTGTCAAGAAGCGTGAATTGGGTAAAAGTTCCAACATTCTGTTAGGTAATTCTGCTTCTGAGTATCAGCACCGTATGAGGTTCATTGAAAGTTGTTTATTTGTACCAGTCAAGTCTTCGTTGACTTGTAGTTAAGACGAAAAGAATATAATCGTTTGTTATGTTTCATTTTCTCATGCCCGGCATGGCCAGGTGGTTAGGGTGCTCGACTCGCAATCTGCGGGTTCGAATCCCCGTCCCACCAAACATGCTCGCCCTTTCAGCCGTGGGGGCGTTATAATGTGACAGTCAATCCCACTATTCGTTGGTAAATGAGTAGCCCAAGAGTTGGCGGTGGGTGGTGATGACTTCCCTCTAGTCTTACACTGCTAAATTAGGGACGGCTAGCGCAGATAGCCCTCGTGTAGCTTTGCGCGAAATTCAGAAACAAACAGACATTTTCTCATAACTGAGAAAGTATCATAACGGAGGAAGTATCGATCACGAACTAGTATACTGATACTACGATGGGAGTCACACTCTAACTTTTTGGAAAAATCAGTCATTTATCTTTAATTCCACATTATGTCTTTTATAAAAGCGATTAAACTTATTCTCAATAAAATACTTTCCAAAGGGAAATTTCTCAATAAATATTTTGTATCAAAGATTTCTACTCTTGTCTTATTTATCTAATGTCATGAACCTTACAATATAGAAGCATAATGACTTACAAACAGACTGATCATCTTAAGTGAAGATAGTCCATTAAATCTGTTTACACCTTTTGCTCTCTGTTATTGGTAAAGATGTTCGTGACTTTCCTAGACTAAACTAACGGATGAAAAGTTGGTCAAAGCAAAAGAAATATAAACATTTCATCTTTTATTTTATATGTATTTTGATGAAAAAAGGTAGTAGGCACTTTTAACTATAACTTTGAACTTAATATCTACAGAAGGGCTAGCTGGATCTTGCTAGTAACATAGTGGAATTAGTGTTTTCCATTCAGTTGCATTTCATAAAGATCTATCCAAGGTAGAAAACACTTTTTTACAAAATAAAAACATTTGGTGTAAACTTTGGGTATTTTAGATTTATAAGGACTGGATTTCATCAGGCGTAAAATAAGTTAAACATCTCTAAATATCCATTAAAATGTCATGTGACAGTTGAAAACTTCAAGGATTTACTATTTTCTTAACTAGAAAAATAATTTATTTTTATACAGGCACAATCAAGAACATTTTTCCCCAAAATGTTTCATGCAAGTGCGATTCACTTAGTTAGCATTCTTGTCAACAGAGGATAAATATTCGTGAACTTTAATTATCACCTAAGGCTAAAGTTACATACCGCAGTGATAATCCAAGTGAGATTGTGTTCGCTTGGCTAGGCTTTTGCATCGCCTCTCTCTCTTGGGAATTGGGTCATATCCAACTGAAGGGGTGTTGAACAAGTTTGTACGAGGTGGGTGTTAATCTCCTCTTGAATGTGTGTGTAATAAGAAAGATCACTGATGCAGGTAATCTAGGATTACATGATACCACACTAGGACTTTGCTGTGGTTTTACTTAAAAGTGTAGTGTAGACAAAACTATTTCTGTCTTTACGGAGAGAAGAAGTCTTTTTCTTCTGGCTCCAGCTTGCCAGAGGTTATTTAACTCAAAGTTTTTAGAAGTTATACAGTCAATACCGTAAGACTAAAACACTTTTTGTGATTAATGCTTAATTAAACATTCATTTTCTATCTGACTTCGGTTTATTCTTTTGCAAACAAATCTTTTCAATTTTGTTACTGTTGTTTTGTTAACGAAAAACTAACAATGGGCTATTTGTGATCTGTTTATCGTGAGAAATCGAACCTCGGATTTTAGCGTCGTAAGTCCGTAAAATTATGGCTGATTCACAAGGGGGGGGGGACAAATCCTTTTGATCTCCTCGTACTACGATATTTAATACTTACTTGTTGGTCACAGTTTTACTTACTAACACTAGCTGTGTAATTTTACGACAAAAAGTCTTGGAATTATTTTCTGGTAGATCTCGCGCTTCTCTCTCTGGCAAACAAAGTTGATATAGTATTACCCTCTACAGTTGAAAAACTCATATCATACAAGCCCCTGACAAGCAACCATAATACGACCTTCTGATAAACGTTTTATTATAAATTTTCCCATGGATCACAGAATATAACTTTTCCAACAGCGATGATACCGCAGCAAACAAGTTTTTGTTTGTTTTTTTCAGTTTTTTTCGGAAATCTGATTGATGGCTAATTTCAAGTTCAAACTAAACATGAACCTTAGAGAAAAACAAAATTAACTCAAAAGGAATCTGCGACTCCGACATCTCTCTGACAACAAGCTCATGCTCCGAAACAATCAATAACTTGCACCAGCTTGTGGTCCTGTTGTTTATTGCCCATAACTATCAGAAATACGCTCTCTTATCCAACTATCTGTTCAGTAGCGCTTTACAAACACGGTCATCAACTAAACATGACTCGTTCTTCAGTCACTGCTATATTTCTTTCTCACATCGGCCTAGTAAATTCATTTACTAATAAATCACCGTGCCAACACTGCTCTCCACTTTCAGTGCTTAGGACCAGAGACACTAAAGTAGGCCGACTCCAGCAACTACAGCTGTTTCCACCCAGGGGTGATTTGTGGGACGGAATTTCAAGACGCTGTAACATTTGTGTTAGTTATTTCAATACGGCGATCACATCCTGATTCCAGTGCTACACAAGTCAGGTACGATTACTTAAGCAGCCAAGCCAACTAGAGTCATTGACAAATCTCATGTCTTGACGTAAATACCAGTAGTGTTTAGTTGTTTATTGGTAAGATGGAAGTTAACCGATAAAACTGCTCTGATATTATATGCAGATGTTCAAAGACTTGCGGCCAAAAAACCTGCAGGACACACTGTGTGTTTATTAACAGGAATGATAATTTAGCGATTTTCCACCTTCAATGGCTCAGACTGTGGTAATCTAAACTACCACATATTTTCAGTGGATGTACGCTACTGGACTCTTACTTCACATACCAAATTTCAAGGCAATCTATTAAGAAATACCTGAGATATAACATCTCCAATTTTGATTGCATTTCTTCGTATTTTTTTCTTTTTATTCGCACCAAAAGTACGGAAACTATATTTGATAGAAAAACATACGTAACTTTTATGGATTTTTTTTTTTCAAATTTGATACACTGATAGATTTTTACAACCTACAATTAGGAGTCTCATTTGGTATAAGTATAAGCCAAATATTAAAAATTATTCAACAAAAACCGCTCCCATTTTACTAAAATTTTTGCGCAGGCGTGCGCAAAAATTCACGTGAGCTATCGGTCTGAAAATTTTACTACAGCTTCACCTAAGGATAAAAGTGGACCGTTTTTAGTTTTTTAAAGACGGCTGATTTAGAGAAGTGAGGATCGCGGGTTCGAATCTCCGTCCCATCAAACATGCTCGCTCTTTCAGCCGTGGGGTGTTATTATGTGACGTTGGTAAAAAAATATCCCAAGAGTTGGCGGTGGGTGGTGATGACTAGCTGCATTCCCTCTAGTCTTTCAATGCTAAATAAGGGAAAATTTAGAGCAGCAAAACTATAAGGTGAAAGGACGTGCAGATACACAAGTATTGGTTAGGCCAAGCAAACTAGATTAACACTTTCTAGCTCAAGTTTTCAAAAGAATCACATGGATGGACAGTTTTTATTGATTATCCATTGCCAACTTTTCAGCACAAATTTACTAAAATTTATGAAATTATTCTAATTAAAGAGAGTTTAGCGTCACATGATATTACTTTAAGAAATTAACATAAATAATGATGCTTGATATGGCTGTACCGATTGCATTGGGGTGGTGACAAGAAACTGCAAATTTAAATTCCATGGCGTTATAACGGAATCTATTTTGTTTTACCCATCATCATGCCCCAAGTTGAACAAAAAGCATGGCCTGGCCAACTAATGAATGATTATTTACTGCAAAACTCTTATCAATGCTGTAAGTGTAGCTACCAGTTTGGCAGCCAATATTGATTTCATTCCTTCAAGTCGCACACTGAATCCTTTTTTGGCCGCACCGTTTTTTTCTCACACCTACGGTGTTTTTGATTACATAGAAATAACCTTACCAGACGTCTTTCGAATTTCTTTAGACAATTCACAAAGAAGATCTTGCGAGGTTTCCTGGTGTTATCTTCATACAACACAATTATTGCTGGGTGTCTTCCGAATTAACTAGGTACGTAAACAGTGTTTCGCGAGGTTTTTGTATAGAGTTATTAGAATCTACAATTAAGTAACAGACTGAGATTGTTTTTTTTCATGATTTACCAGAAACTTCAAACTGAGACTATCATATTTGACCGATTTCTTACCAATGACAGAAATAATTATCTATAATATTTACCAAAGTACCAAACTGAGCTTAGAGTCTTAAGTATTTTCCGATTTATATTAGCTATGTATAGCTATGATACTCTTGTCGACATGAAAATAAAAAAAACAATAATAAAAGGTATATGTTTAATTTCAGGAAGTTTACTATATGTGAGTCTCTTTGATGATTTTATTTCAAAATCCATTTACTAATTGTGTAACAGCTATTAACATTAATGGTCTGTGGTGGCTCAGCGGTAAGTACGAGGGCTTATAATACTAAAATTGAGTTTAGATACCCACGATGGACAGAGCACAGATAACCCAACAAACAGGCTAACTAATATTAACGGCAAATTAGAAAAACAACAAAGCATTTTACTTACCTAGTCCAGAGTAACCGTAGGAGAACACACAACCATCTGTACCGTTGACAACAGCAGGAAGAATATCCATTAAAACTGTAGCACAAATGTCTGACTAAAGCAAGAACAAAATACTTAATTATATAATTATTTTTAAACAGTCTTTTCTTTATATATGGGAAGATGGTATCTGAGCAAATTGTTATTTCCTTAACTGTTATTTATTTCCTGGTGTTAACAGTTCCTTTTTTTAAAGTAAAAACCAGATTTTTATTAGCCATATCAATGAATTTATTTCCTAAAATGGAAGCATTTCAAAGTTTTAAGAAACTTTTTATTTAGATAATAAAACTGAAAAACTTTCGTATAAATATTTCAAGAAAAAGAAGTATCGTCGATGATAAATAATTCATTATTTTCTCGTTTTTTTACTAATACTTTGCAATATTGTTTCAAGGAATATAAAAGTTTTCATGATATTAATTTCAAAAAAAATCCACTTCCTATTTTTAACTATTTTTAATAAATGCGTTCCGGAAAGTGCCTATAGTTAGAGTATGGGAAACAATACAAAACACAATCACGATTTGTTAAGGTAGGTATTTTTCAATAACAATTATAAAAACCTAATGTTGTGCAGTCTAGTTGTGAAATATTCTATAGAAACAACTTAAAGGTATTTGTCAGGAAGAACTGAATCCTGAAAAACTTGTTTCTGAAATTCGATAAATATGTTTTCATTTTTCATTCTCTAGGATCTTAATATTGTAAGCATAAAGTTAAAAGTTCTGCCTGTTTTAATGCACTGATTTTTAGCAGGGACATATATAAACACGTTCTCCTTATTTACCCGCTAATCTAATGAAGTTTCATAAACTAACAATATTTATTCTCCATACCTGGTTATCTTCAGGAGTAAACACAGCATCAAAAGCAAACATCTTGGGCGTGTTAATTCCAGCTTGATGGGTGATAGAGGCAGGAATTGCACTCTGTGTTGAGAAAGTAGGAGGATCGTAAACAGTAACTTGTTTCTTTCTAGTGTTAACTGTTATACAGCTCGTGGCATCACACGATTGGCTAATTCGTAACATAACCTTCACCTAAAGAAAATAAAGATGATAAGTGACGTTTTCTCTACAAAATATTACTGTCAGAACATATAAAATGATGGACTCTATTTAATTAGAGAGGATATTGCTTGTTCATTTATTGAGATAACTCCTTCTTTATAGGGCAATCTGCACTATATGCCAGATCTATCAATAGTTATCCTTCTTTATAGGGCAATCTGCACTATATGCCAGATCTATCAAGTTTTCTTCTTCTCTTTAGGGCAGTCTGCACTATATACCAGATCTATCAAAATTTCTCCTTCTTTATAGGGCAATCTGCACTATATACCAGATCTATCAAAATTTATTCTTCTTTATAGGGCAATCTGCACTATATGCCAGATCTATCGAGATTTCTCCTTCTTTATAGGGCAGTCTGCACTATATGCCAGATCTATCAAGATTTCTCCTTCTTTATAGGGCAGTCTGCACTATATGCCAGATCTATCGAGATTTCTCCTTCTTTATAGGGCAGTCTGCACTATATGCCAGATCTATCAAGATTTCTCCTTCTCTATAGGGCAGTCTGCACTATATACCAGATCTATCAAAATTTCTCCTTCTTTATAGGGCAGTCTGCACTATATGCCAGATCTATCAATATTTATTCTTCTTTATAGGGCAATCTGCACTATATGCCAGATCTATCGAGATTTCTCCTTCTTTATAGGGCAATCTGCACTATATGCCAGATCTATCAAGATTTCTCCTTCTTTATTCTTAGATTAGAGACATGGTGACAAGGTTAAGTATTGCTGTGATATCATCAGGTGCAGTAATTAAATTTACTGGTAAGAAAAGTAACTGCAGATAACAGAAGGAAATGCAGAAAATGTTAGGTGAAATTTGGAACCGAACACAATGTAAACAAAGTGAAAACGGATCTTTATTTAATGCAAATATAATCAAAATAAGTTGAATACACATTACTCCTCCCTTGCATGGAACTTAACACTAGAATATTTGGTTATAGCTTAGTTAATATTTAGACTCTAATGTCTCCACTACCTACTTTTCTTCTTTAAAACCTTTGTCTTCATGACTGGTGTCTTTTCTGTGGGTGGAGTTGCTACTCCAGCTTTGCAGTTGGCAGGCTGGGCACAACCTTCATGTTGGGGAGAACATAGTCCATTATGTAAAGTCTGAAGTATCTCCTACCTGAGATGTATGGAGACCATTTACTGCATCTAAGGTTGAAAATGCCTTTATGGCTTACAACAATGATACAGCACATCTTCTTTCACCCATAGCTGCTCGTACAATTGTCACAAGTTTCAAGTGTTTGAACTTTGTTTCTTATTGTGACAGTCGAACCTCATTTTGCTGCATAACAAGATCGTTAAAGCTAGCTTTGAGTTCTTAATCTGTTCTTCTCTGAGTTCCTGAGTCCATTCACTAGTGGACCCACTCACTGAATGATTTGACGTCACAGTTGATATAATAACTCCTACACAGTGTCGAGAATCAAGATTTTTTGTAATTAGACAAGCTCTTACAGTTTTATAAGATGAGCCAAAGTCAAATTCGTGTTATTGGCTTGACCAATGATGTACAAAACAGTAGCACCCTTACAACATTGTGATACAGCCTGTAATCACCTCTTCAGAAGTTTATAAGCCATTTCAATGGCACATTCTCAGCATGAATGATAATGTTTGTAAAACATTACAAGAGAAAACAATTCCTTCTTGTTATGCAGTGTCTTGGTTCAGGGCAGTCAGTTTATGATTAGCATCCACGATTACACATTATACTCTTTCTTGCATCTGTAACAATATTGTTTTAATTCCGCTATCGCTGGCATCAGTAACCAGCAGGAATGGACAAGGGAATCTAGAATATTGCAACGTCAGAGCTTCTACAAAAATACACTTTATCGAGAGAAACACATGATCACAATCTTTAGTTTACCAGAAACGAGTTTCAGTTTTAGTGCAGCAACCTTAGAAACATTGGCAACCAATCATTGATAATATAATACAAAACCTTAGGAAACTGTGGATCATTTGTTTATTTATAAGTAAGGCCAGTTTCTGACTGCTGTGGTCCTCATAGGGTCAGTGACAAAGGTAACCACCAATTATCCACATTTCTTTGTTAAAGCTATAAGAAGTACACCTGTACTTGCATATGATGCAAACATTTTGGATATATTCAATGGACTAAAGAAGGTTTATTTGTTTAAAATAAAGAAAACAAAAAGCAGTTATGAGTCACATACTACACTGCCAACATGACTTGGTCCTGATAGAAAGATATGATAACACAGTGTTTCACTGCGTATGATTTCTGGAAAAGCAAAAGCTGCGAGACGAATGCACAGCATATGTTTACTGAGGTTTGACTTTCAAAATGACTCTTTGTTTGTTTGTTTTTGGAATATTACTTAGAGCTATCTGCATTATTCGTCAATAATTTGGAAGTGATAGACTAGAGGGAAGGCAGCTAGTCGACAGCGCCTACCACCAACTCTTAGGCTACTCTTTTACCAACGAAAAATGGATTGACCTTCACATTATAACGCCTTCACATGTAATAGAGTGTGCTTTTGATGAAGAGATTCGAAATCGAAACCAATTAACAAAATGCAGATCAACAAAATACCATATTTTTAATTGTATCGTAAGGCATTTCATGCTGAATGTTCTCTATTATAAATTTGACAAATATGCCAAATTTTGTGTTTTATTATATTAAATTCATAGATAACTATTTTTTTATGTGAAGTCAATTCATTATTATATTCTCCAATTTAAAGATGGCACAAGTAAGATAAATGTTTTTAAAGTAAGACAATCTGAGGTTATTAAAATATAATGTTTATTACTTTTCCTTCGACTTTCACAAATGAAAGTGAAACAAAATAGTTGGAATCGAGAGGTCTCTGTTTTATTTAAAGCCTACACCAATTATGAAATCCTAAAGTAATCTAATAAATAAGTAATCTATTTTCCTCTTTCTGTTTTTCATTTTTGTTTAAAAGTGGATTTTTATTTTTGTTTATCGTGGGCAGTCTTAAGCTGTATAATTTCTTCTACTTCACATACTTTCGTTTTTTTTATTTTTGTAAAAACGTAACCCAAGCATGGCCAAGTGCTAAGTGTATTGGTTGGTGACCCAAGGGTCTCGAGTTCGAGACATGGTGCTATCTAATATGCTTTGCACTTCCAGCAATAGATTACCAGAGTGAGTCAATACTGCCATTTATTTAAGATTCCACAAGCTGATGACTGGTCACCTTCTCTCTAGCTCACAGTTGAAAACTATTGAATCGACTTATAGGAATCTCTGACATGGCCATTTAACTCGTTATGGGCATAAGGTGTCGTTTAGCTAAACAACATCAACAAAAAAAAAACGTAAAATGAAAAACGTCAAAGCAGTATTTTGCGATTTGTAAACTGAGAATATGAATTATGAAAAATTATATTGCTTGAGCGTGTGTTTAGTTTCCGAATGCTCTGTTGCCTGAATAAGTTTTTTAATGAGTGACTCAATTGTCGTTTCTTTTAAAGTTTGAGATTAATCTAAAACTGCAAAGAAATGCCTTCTATTAAACTATTAAATTGTTCCTTAAAATCATATTCTTTCGAGAATAACTTTTCAATAACTCACAAACTGTTGTGCCTGTCTTATAAGAGGTCGTAATTCAGAGATTGTTCTTTTCAAGTAATGAAGATTATTGTTTTGTACACTATTTGCAATGTTCGGCTAATTTTGCAAATATTTACACAGTCTAATGTGTTTGATAATAAAAAAGTAAATAAAAACGGAATGTTATACACTTTTGATTACTTGAATTAACAAGTTCGTGGTTGAATTATTAACGTACAGTGGCATTAATCAGAAGAAAAAAATATATTAAACCAACTTTTTTTAATCTTTTATATTGGGCCGGCATGATTAGTGATTAGCGTGCTTGGACCATGAATCTGATATTTCATGACGTAGCCCAATTGCTATAAACATTCACTTCACGATTTGGGTCTGTAGTTACACTATAGGAGTCAGACAAATCCCATTATTTCGTCAGAGAAGAGTAGCTGAAGGGTCTTCAGTGGGTCGACTTTTTCATCCAAAATTATAGATGGTTATGCGCATATAACCTTTTGTGTAGCTTTGCTAAAAAACCCAACAAAAAACAAAAACGAACTGAAACAAAGAAGCACATTAGTTATATTTTGAATTATTGGACGTAATGCTTTAATTTCATGGTGTGCATATATGTATATAAATAGTTAAATTTAGTTTCTATATAACATAAAAAGCAGATGTGGAGTAGCTTACAACAAATTGATTACATTGATTACAGTTTGGGCATAAAAACGTTTACAGATAAAGCCAAAATTAAAATTGGCTTTATCGATAGGCACATTAATACATTTCTTCTGTATTTTATGGATTTTAGTTTTCAACTTAAAAAAATCTTAGATCTACTGGATATTAATTTAAATTAATTAAAGCTAATTGATCTTTCATTTTGTTAATCAAATGATAAAAAACTAATTTCCATCTTGAAAACTAATTTGGAGGATAATGTATGGTATAATTAAGTTTTGGAAAAATAATCCATGTTTTTTTTATAGAATTTATAATGTCCATTTTTCACATTTTGTAGCTATTCTGTAATTAGCACATGTTGGTCCCCCCACTCTCTCAACCCAGTGGACAAGCGTCAAGTCTTAAGACTTATAACACTAATAACTGGGTTCTATGCCCGTGATGGGCACAATATTGTGTAGTTTTGTGTTTAACAAGTAAATTCTGAAACATTAGAATTTCATATTTAAAACTAGTAATAGGTTTTAAATATTTTAAAGGAAAAATAATTAGTATTATAGAACCATGCAACATTTTAGAAATTTGCAAATCATTAAAAATTTTATGTTTAGGTTTAATTTTTTGATTATATATAATTTACTTTAAGCTCAAATTTTGCAGTATCAAAAATTAAATGTTTAGCATAACTATTTTGAAAATTCAATATA